TTGAGGTGTTGAAGGTGGTTTGCGAGATGCCTAAGTTACCAAGAAGTATTAGAAGCAATCAAGAACAGATTAACAAAAGAAAGAGGCGCACAAGGTACCTTGTGACCTTCAGTCTTTGTATCAACCCGTGGTTGAGGTGGATTCTTCTTGGGGCCAGCTGCAAAACAAACAACGCTGGCATAAGTTAGTAACAATAGAGTTCAGATAAAGGAATCTAAAATCGAAGGGTGACGACCTTCAAGGATTTCAGATTCGATGCGAACACCTTCGATACCAACATGAAGGTGCCCTTTGAAACTGTTGAGCGTATGTTTAGTCGGAACCACCCATTGGGCCTTGGGTTTCGGTTGCTGACGAAGGATTTTTATAGAATCCCCACAGATAAACCAATCTGGAAATGGAGGGGCAAGAGCCACTCCAAGGTCAGCAATTGGCAGTCAAGGAGTCTTTGGTGGAAATATGGCGAAAGCCACTTCATAACGTTTTTCAGCAGGAACATACAAATGGATTTTTAAATTCTCCATTTTCTTTGAAAATTTTTCCTTCAATGTAACAGCGGCTTCGCGGATGGTTCGACTAACATCATTTGGTCGAGAAGCAGTTTCAAAGTACTTCTGGAAGGCTTGAATCTCTTTAATATGAGTAGATATACCTTTTTTGACCTTCTTCTGCACATCAACAAAAGCTTGGTCAATCAAGCGAACAAATATGGAAACATCAAGGAATTCCGAAGTATAGTGCCTCGACCACCAATTATAGAATTCTTGGGTGCAAAGGTAAGAAGGTTCGAAGTAAACAGGCGTGAGAAGGGATTTGTGAGCATGTCGAGCAAGATGCGTTAAACTCTTTATAGTATTGAAGACAATATTGGGGAGGATCACATGAGCTTTCTTGTCATATAGGCACTTGGGTAACGTTTGGACTAAACCAAACTGTCGAGATACAAGGTTTGGCTGGTAGGCCATCAAAGCTGCTTGGCCCCTTAGGAGGTTAAGTTTATGGACTATCAGTCGAGGAATTAAAAAACCTTCCCAGACAAGCATCGACTCTGCTTCGTGTTTTTTGAACGAAGGAGGAAAAGCCCTAGGGAATCATTCAGGGCCATATTTCCTTTCTGCGAATGGAGCCATCCGTGGTGTAAACTCGTGGCGCTTTGCGAACATCTTAATAAAGCCAGAAATATTCGCCCTAAGTGTTTGTCCCTCTTCACTAGGGGTTAGCTTGACCAATCGAGTCCATTCGACTCGTCTCCCTTTTATCTCAGGGTCTTCTTCATCGACTACCCTTTTGTTGGGAAGGCTAGTCTCAAACGTAGCATTAAGCCAAAGTTGGAGTAGCCAGAAAAGCCCCGACAGCAGGAAGTTCCCGTTGCTTTCTTAGCTTTTTAATCGACTAGCGCCTTCATTCAGAGGCTCATACAGACTGGCCAGAATCATTTCACTTAGGCAGATACCTCGATTCAGGTGCAGTTGATTGGTTAAAGTGAGGTACTTCCTCGCTACCTACAGAGATTTTGTACAGAAAACGCAACGAGAGAGCCACATAACTATAAATGCTATGTATTCTTGATCTTCGACAATTTTTGTTTGCTTGTTGTGATAATGATTGATGAAATGGGTGTATGTGTGCTTGGTGGTCTAAGACCCTATAGTGTCTTAAAAATCCACTTTAGGATTATAAACCAATCCATGGGGTTTTAGCCCTGTGATAGCGGCTAGGTCAAATAGAGTGGGTGCCATCATCCCATAAGGAAGGTGAAAAGTGTAATGGGTACTATCCTAGAAGTATAAGGAAGAGGCCAGCAGAATGGGGCAGTAGGTAGGACCTACTTTTGACATCATGATCAAGATGTAAATCCCGGTTCTCTTCCAAGCGTCTGCTTTGACCTTCTCTACTTTGGTCAACCAGTTCAAGTAAAGATCAGAGTCTTTGAAGTAAGGGGTATCTCTAAACAACCTGGATCCATCATTTAGATACTTAAGGTCTACATTATGTAAAGTAAAGCTGTCAGGACCTTCAGTGGGTACTTTGGTATGATCCTTCTACCCTAAAGGTTTGGTTTTGCGATAAGAGGGAAAAAATCACTAAGGGTTGAATAATTGGTTCCTAAAGGAGACAAAGGGCCAGCTAAAGCTAAGGATTTACCTGCAACAATTATAGGGATCATTATCTATGATTCATAAATATGTCTCTTCTCTTATATAAGGGGTTCAGGGATAAATTGTTGGTTCTTCACCATCTTAGGCCCGCTCAGTGTAGCAAAGGGAGGAAGTAGTGACGCAGTCTTTAGTCCTTTGGCTTGAGGATTCTTCTTCTGATCTTGGTGGCAGTAGTGGAGGATGCCATTGATGAAGTTTTAGTAAAGAATGGGTTTACTGAAGAAGATTAGGAATGTTTGAAAGAGATGCATAATAATTGCTTGAGTGGGAAAAAGTTAAAATGATTTCTGATGAAATTATTTATAAGATGTTTTGAAGTAGTTAAAAGCCACTATTCATCATTGAGGGCTAAGAGTAGTGGGACACGCGGTGTCCCAGGAATGAAAGTGGGGGTGGTGGCAGTTATTGTCTAGACCCACGATTTCATAGGTCCTAAGAAAGTGATGATGGTCTGGGATTTTGTGGGGTTTCCAAGAAATTGTTCATAACGGGACATGATGTTATGGACGTGCGTGAAAAGTAGCTGAACAGTTTTCTTTCAAGTCATCGGTAGTCAGTTGCATTGACATCTATATAAAGGTCGAAAGATGACGCAAATTGGATGTTGTCAAAAAATAATCTTTTTCTTCAACATGGTCGAAAAAGACATTTTTGGGGGGCAATTTGTTAGCTCACAAATTCGACGCCCACATTAAATTAAAAGGTTTGAGGGAAATATTAAATTGTCAAAGGAATATGAAAAAACCATTCAAGTGGAAAGACCTTCGAGTGGTTGAAATATTAAAGTATTTGGGACTTAGAAAATATTTCTAAACATTAAAGAGATCACCTTCGACCGAGACTGCTGGCCAAATATTAGTGGAATTTGAAATTCAAATAAACGAGGGAGTAATTATGCTTTCTCATTGCTGAACGAGACAAGTGGCGCACATCCAGCAAGCAACTACATGCGGCGCGACACTTGTCATGAGCTGATCATTTTAGGAGGTTAATGGCAGTTAATTGTATTATTATAAATAAGGATTCTAGCAATGAAATTCAGTGTGTTGTAATTTACTATTGTACAAGTCACTCCAAAATTTACTCAAAGTATCTGAGTGTAGAGAAAAGAGTTTTGGGAGAATGTACGCCATGTAAAAAACACCATTTCTACGTTTTAATGAAACTTATTTTGCTTTATCTTAAAGAGTTTATCTTTTACTTTCTTGCAGTTTACATCTTACTGGCATTATGTTTTACTTTGTTTAAGTGTTTTTGAAGGCTCTTTACTTTTCTTCCTACAATTGCATGTCCTTTTATTTTAGTTGAACTTTACATTTACATTAACCCTTTCCTCATAAACACTGTCGAAGTGTTCAGTTTCTTAGTATTTTCTTTTAAGTAAAATTTAGCACATGTCCTTGGATCAATCTGATCGATCACGTGAGTCACCAAAGTTATATTTAGAAGATCAACGGCTGTTTTCCAATTTTCACGGGAAACAATATGATACTTGTAAGAACCTGGTAACATCTTTCTCCTAAAGATTGAAACTTAAGCAACTGTGAACCTAATTCGTACTAAAACCACCTTTAGACCTAAGGGCATCTGCATATGATACACCTCTATCGAATCCTACGTGATTCACATCGTCCATGATATTCTGATAATGATGGAGAAACTTGTATACTTCTACTTTCTTCCTTCCATATTCAAAACCCTCATTTCTTGAAACCTTAAGGGATTGACACAAATTTCCCTATTTCCAAGGAAAATGTTGTCTAGCTTTATGGCTAGCAACTTATCATCCCTTACATGAAAAATCTCACAAAGCCATATCACCCCTTTAATGTCACACATTGACTGAATTCATCAATATCTCCAAACTTTTGAAATTCCTCATACTTTTCTTTTGCTCCACATGCATGAGGAAATGACGTGAAGAAGAAAAATGATAGACTATTCCTTGCATTCTCGTAACCTTGGTTTTCGTTTGATTCATTATTCCACCGAATACGGATTGAGAATTTTTTTTTCATGCGAACCTTAACTTATTTCCAACCCTCTTCTAAATTTCAATTTGCAACATTCTTCATCGCTTTTGATGGAGATGGAGAAAGAAAGAACAAAGTGAAAGAAAGTTAGAGAAATGGAAAAACTTCTCTTTTAACATCGATTATATTGGCTTAATAAGTTAGAATTAACTCAATTATAGAAGTGTATACAAATATTATTAAAAGTCACAATAATTTTTAAGTTGTATTTACTACTCGACATCTACCTCTATCTCTTTACAATGATTTCTCCTCCAATTTGATATTCTCATTTTGAATTTGCTTGTTAATAATATAAATTAATTATGCTCTCATAATTGTAAAAAAAAAAGAGTACGAGTAACTCCAAATCACAAAAATAAATTAATGTAATTTGTAAAACTTTGATATGGTACAGAAAAACATTACTATGATATTTAGTGAATCATTCAATAGTACTAGTAACTTGAAAGTAGTACTTTATTTATTAAAAAGAAAGCTGGTAACAAACAATAACACTTGTAAAAGTAACACTGATATAATAATCTAGAAAAACAAAGACCCAATCTTTACCTCCAAATAAAAAAAGACCAAAAGGAAAGTCCTTTCAACTCAACCATCAGTAACAGCATACGCGGATCGCGAGTTTTCACCGTTGATTACTTCAAATCCGACGACGGAGATCAAAACACAAATCTCAATTCCTTCCTCTTCTTCTCCCGCTCGCTGCGATAGATAAATACCCGATCCCCATCAGTAATCTTCACTCAAGCTCAAATCAAAACCCTAATTCCCAATTCATTTCGATTTCACAAATTTTCTCGCGAAAATGTCAGGCCGTGGAAAGGGTGGCAAAGGACTCGGAAAGGGGGGTGCAAAGAGGCACAGGAAGGTTCTCCGCGATAACATCCAAGGTATCACAAAGCCAGCTATTCGTAGGTTGGCGAGAAGAGGAGGTGTGAAGAGAATCAGTGGTTTGATCTATGAAGAAACCAGAGGAGTTCTCAAGATCTTCTTGGAGAACGTCATCCGTGACGCTGTTACATACACTGAGCACGCTAGGAGGAAGACTGTTACTGCCATGGATGTTGTTTATGCCCTCAAGAGACAAGGAAGAACCCTCTATGGATTCGGAGGTTGAAGATGGTGCACTCTTTTGTTTATTTTGTTTTTGTGTTGCTGTGTAGTTTCAAAATGTGATTGTAATTTCACGGTGCTTGTGATGATGTTTAGGTTGATTTGTGACATGTAATTCTCAGTGAAATGGAATTGTATTGAAAGTTACAAGACTGGAATTTGAATCTAATGAAATTTAGTACTGTGATTAATTCTGGTGAATTATAGTTGAATCAAGAATATTTTTTGGTTTTCCTATCATCACGTTTTCAAGAACTGTTTCCTCACCTCATTTTCTCTTCAATATTTACTATAATAACGAAACCTTTCTTTTGTTGTAACGAAACCACAGTGCATACTGAGAGTCATCCAAAGTGGTAGAATTATAAACAGAAATCTCTGAAACAATATACAAGGGACTCTAGTTTTGAAACAATCAATATCCACTGTAATCTTGTTTAATATTCTTGATCAAACTGTGATAAGTATTATAAGGGTCAGCAGAACAACTTGATTAACAGGTTTGACTTGCCCACACGCACTGAACATGTAGCTTAATTTACTGATCTAGAATTCTTCTACCTTTATCCCACGAGAAATTGAAAGGAAAAGAAGTGTTTGCCATGTATTGCAAGCCTGCATGTGAGCTTAATTCTACAACCCTTCATCTATCAAAAGTTAAGTTAATAATCAGAGTTATCTTGTGTCTTGAACTGACCAAAGGCTTAGCAAAACCGACTCAATTCTAAAGGCTCAATTCAAAGTGTCTTTATTGAAGAGTGATGAACATGTGAAGTTTTGTCAAAAGGCTGCACACTTGATCCATCCACTATCATCTGATTTGATGACATGATCTCTTAAATTAATGTTAGATAAAACGGAAGAGTCATCTTATTTAATGATACGGTCTCTCGAAATCCATGTCAAATAAAGCGGAAAGAGTTTTACTTTTTATTGTTTATCCTATGTAAACTAGTCTAATGCCATAACATGTATATTCATTCATTCTCATTATTGATAGTTACACCTCTATGATTGCATGACTTAAGTTTTAGAGTGCAACCCTTGTAGGTTCACTCCCGCTCCACTGTACCAGAGGAGCTTCTATCTACCACATCACCAATATCTCGTCCTGTAACAACATTGGCGACGTCTATGGAAATTGATTTGAGATTCTCATGAATTTCCAAGAAAACCCACCATATCCTAACTGTTGCCCCACCACAACTGATCCATCTTCCATTTTAATATCTGGTTAACTTTAAATCGATGATGATAGCGTTTAAGTTAACTCAGATAACCCCTCATTTTATAGTCCGAAAAGGGCATCCAAAGACAATAGCCATCCTCTACGGAGTTCTATAGAAGAAGAAAGAAACCACGCGAGAATGCATCCACCAGTTTACTAAGGTACCTGTCGAAGTAGGCAGATTGAACGAGATACTGAAAGTTCCGAATCTTTGAAAAATGGGTTAAGGACGAACGATATGTTTTTTTGAAAATTTAGGGTTAAAAGGCGATGTAAGTTTCAGGGTTGTAACTCGACTTATGTTAGGATATGATGTATTTCGGAAAGTAGAGTTAAATCTTTGGAGTTAGGTTCTTAGTTCTCCTTCATTCATCATACCGTTTTTTGTTAGTACTAGAGATTTATAATCCTTCTTACAATATTATTTATCTTTTTTTGTCATTTATTGATTTTTTTGAAGAGGTTCCTTTTTCCACTTCTTTTTATCAACAATTGTTTTTAAAAAATATTTTGGATCGAATTCTCAAGTACCTCAACCCCAAACTTAAAATGTTGGTCACTTCTAAGAACAATCCCAAACTTAATATTTTTCATAGGCTTTAAGAACTATATTTCTACCTAACTCTAAAGAGAGGGTGCAAAGAAATTTTTTTCAAGTAATACGGCTAAGAATTTAATCTACGTCACCGAAAAAAAAGATTAGGCTCAAAGTGTTTAGCAAAGGATAATCCTACTACTAAAGGGTGGTTTACAAAGGCTCAGAGTTATATAAAAAAGTCGCTTCAGTGTGTGTTGATCAAAATTGATAATTTAATCGGAAATAAATCAAATTAGATAAAAGAATAATGTATGGAAACACTTAAAAAGAAAAAAAAAGTGCACAATGGAAATATTTAGACTTAAACCTTACCAAAAGAGGTATCTGAAGGTTGAGTACAAGTCTGTTGATTATTTTATCTTCCTTTGCCTTCGAGTTTTCAATTGCTTTCATTTTGATCACGTCACTTCTTTTTATTCTTTTCTTGGATCATGTGTTAAATGCTAAAGATAGACTTTATAAATCTGAAGAAAAAAACAGCTGCAAACTTTGTTTATTAAAGACAATTTTTGCTAATACAAAGGGAAAGGAGAGAGCACTTGAACATATAGCTCTTGTCTAGGTACATCAATGAAAATTAAAAATAAACTAAAAATCTTCTCAAATTCAAAAACTAAACTGCATGTCTTTTCACATATTGATATCGCGAAAAAATCATGTATATCGTTCATAATGTTGTTGAATTCATTATTCTGTCTAGTCCATTTGGCGCGTATGTGGTCTCTCCTTCTAGCTTGCTCTTGATATTGGTTGATGAAGTAGTTCTCCATTTCTTCAACTGATACAAACTAGACTCTTAAGCTTTGAGTCGACATGTAGTCTTTTTTTATTGTAGAACTCTCAAAATGCTGGGGCAAATCTTGGAGGGTTCACATACAAGGTGGTGTAACTTCTTCAATCCACCTTGTTATTCCTACGGAATAAGCTTCCATCCTTCTTTGAAATTCGGACATCACTTGACCCTGTATTTGTTATGCTTGATGTTGCATAGGTGGTTGGTTGAACTCTCCACCATTGACTTCTTAGTTGTTGTCTTGATCCTATTGAAAAGCTTCTCCTTGATGCATGTTTGTCATACCCCAAATTTGTCCTACCCAGTATATAATTTCCATTCTGTACACTCACCCGTTAACTGCAAGTCAAAATAAAAAAATATATGTGCGGCCGTTACTCAAGGTACCGCAGTGATGAATCAAATTGAACTAGGAGTCGCTTGAGGCTATCAAGGGAATTATGGATGTATGTTGACTGGGGTTTATTGGATATAACCTAGTCTTGGTCAAGCAGGGATTTGGTTTCATGATTAAGGTCATGGTGTAGGACTTATAAGATGTGCGTCTGAGGCCTTAATTAAGGCACATGCGCAGTTGTAATGCAGTTTTGTGTTGCTTATTCAGTTCAAAATTTAGATTATCTGTGCAAGTACGATTTCAAAAGAGAATTGAAGATTGATTCAGGTTCAACTTGTTTCTCACGAGGAAACTCAAGAGCAATTTCAAATGTGATTATGGAGTAGAGATGGAAATTCAATTTTAATCATTATTATTATAATCAAGAGCTGAAGAATTTGAAATAATTGTGAGTTCAAGACCAGTCCACCTCACATTCAATTTCCATCATTTAAGTCCAAACTATAATTTAATTCCATCGCAACGCTTCAATGATCACAAGCCATGGTTGAATGGTTTTAAGTGAGTTTTAAAATATGGATTAAATTTAGTCAAGCTTTGAGATTGTTCTACAAAATTCATGAATTAAATCAAAGGCCCATTGGGAAGCCCATCTTTATTATTAATTTCCATACAAATTTAATTTAATTGGAAATTATAATAACAAAATTGCAACAAAGCCTCATTAACATTATTCATTGTAGTGTAAAAATCCACATTCAAAACATTGCTGCACCTATTTCCAAGTGAGTCCACTAATTGAAATCCAGAATAAAGGCCATGGTTACATTTTTGCCGATAGTGAAGACTTTGTGTGACAACCAACAACAATGACATGTTGGTGTTCCTACAGCCACCTCTAAATAACCAACCAAAACTCATGCACGTAGCCACACGGTAATTGCATATTGCCAAAACAAGTTTCATGCCATTCACGTCACCATCACAGCATTCTTTATCTCTAGCCAAGGTAACAGGGGTCCCACACTCTACACTGTATAACATGAAAAGAGAAGAAAGAAAGGGACAGCTTGAAAGGTGTTGTAGCAGTATACCTACAAACTTTACAAAATCCTTTCACAATCTTCACCACATCAGAAGTGTACGACTTGTTGCAAAGATAAATTCAAGAATGACCACGTCCTGCAAAAACGGGCAAACGCATCTTGTCATCACAATGGAAATAAGATAAGGACAAGAGGTACATGAGATATTACATCAAAATACCTTTGTATGTTCAGACTAACAAGAAACTGATCCTCCAATTTTCCCAAATAACTTGTCGCACAACATCATCCTGAAAACCATCATAACAACCTGCAACATCATGACAAAAAAAATTGCAGCTAACACAAATCCACACCAGACAAAAACTGCAATAAACCCAATAACCAGCTGCTGCAAAAGAGACCTGTACCTGTACGAATCGCAGCAGGGATTCAGAGCTTGCCCCCATGCGAGCAAATAACAAAGGTGCTACTCGCCCACCACTTGTGTACTAGGTACCTTCTTCATCCAGCTGGCTTTGTTTGTCTCATGGTATACACATCCAAACAACAACTCCTACAAGAAGGACCACCAAAAACCATTCTCATAGAAAACAACGGACCAAACACCCTGTTTTAAGGAGATTGAACCTTCAACATATAAAGGAAAAACCACCAACATACCAGGGGGAGGCTCAACTTCGCATCTTTGCTGAGTAAACAAATAAAAACTCCTCATACATGAACCACACAACAATGACCAACAACTTCCTCTAAAAATACCAAAGTGAAATCACTCTTGATTTGGAGAAGACACCAAAACTTGACTTCTCTTCCCTTCTTGAAACGTCTCCAATGACAAAATCTCATCCTTTTTTTTCAATCATCTGAAACTGAAATCCATAAACCCCATATCATCTTTCGAACCAATACACTCTAATCTCCATCACCTTCATTCAACTTTGATTTCTCACTTCAACTACCTTCAACCTTCAATACTCTTTTAACATCTTTGAATCCTCT